AAAAAAGGTACCAAAAACATCGTCGTGTGTAGTCAGTGCCATACCCTTCCTGATTGGCCAATAAGCCTACCGCTCAACTCTTCAAGCTGTGCTATAATTGGTCGAGCTTGGGCGCGGGGTGGGTGTTTGGAAAGACTGGGTGAATGGAAGGGGGCTGGTGGTCCCGGGGAGAGATGTGTTTTATTGGTTATTGGGGGTAAATAACCCAACAACCAGGCCGTGGCCTGCATCCTAAGTCCTCCAAAAGATAGAGGTCGAGGTAAAGACGTTTAAAAACGACCAGCATTGGGGAAGGGAGGAGAGTAGTTATCATGACTAGTTTAAGGCGGTGTAATTCTCCAGGGACCTATTTTGATGACTGGGATGGTCTGTTGCCCACCTTCAGTGAGAACCGAACAGGACTGAAGAGGACTGGAGTTCCATACAGAATAACAGCGGTTAAACTTAGACACCAAGAGAGTCGTGACAAGGAAGACGCCCCCCATCCCCCACCCCCCCAGACTTCCAAGGCAGTGCGACTTAGCTCACCCACATTTCCGTGATGAAAACACGCCAAATAAACCTCTTCTTGGGGGTTGCGTTTGACTTAACAACACTTAGTACTGGGCTCAGGGATTCATGAAATACAATTGGTGGTTTATCTGTGCTGGATTTACGAGGGAAGGGAATGTAATTCCACTAAAAAGAGCCACAGATTTGCTTTAGATCCTTTTTAAAAATCGCTAAAGGGGAGTGGGGTCCACAAAAAGCAGGAAGAGAGTAACAACAGTGAAAGCCCCTGCAAGCCAACTGAGCTCTTGGCACGTTCCCCATACAGCTATGACTCGCCCCACTAAGGATGGTATTGACTTTCTGGCAAACACTGTCGGTAAATACTAGTGAACCTACTGTACGTTAATTTTTCCTGAGATTAAAAATAGTGTCATCTTCACCTTTGTTTACCTATCGCCTTCCTACCACATGTTTGTGGAAATGCTGAAGCAATGTCGTCCCATTACTGAGGTGGAGATCTTCGAAGAAGGCCACATAGCTCTAGCCTCCTTCACAGAGACTTCTCAGATGATTATCTTAGACTGAATAAGGAGGGAACATTTCAGCAGATTTATCTGTCCCCTTTGCTTTCCCATTTGACCTGTACTGTGTTAGGAACAGCCAGAGTACTTTCCTACTCATGTATCACCAACAGCCTTGGCTGGCTCTTTTCTCTGTCTTTCCTAGCCTCTGTGCTGAGTGAGCTATGATTTGCTCTGTGATTAAGTTATTGTGTTTAGGTATTACCTTTAACTCAATACTCATAGGTCACCAAGGTGTTTCCCTGGGCGTAGTGTGAGAAGCACCTTGTTTTTTTCTTCTCACAATAATCTTGAGCTTTAGGAATTTGAAGAAAGGTCTGGCTTTATTTAAGAGTAGAGTGGAAATAGCATGTTTACAAGTAGGTGGATTGCCAGGAAAAAAAATAGTATAAAGGTTATCAGATATCAGCAGCAGTTGCTTCTTAGTCTTTAATTTTCCTTATTCTTTTTTTAAATATATTGATTTAGAGAGGGGGGTGAGGGAGGGAGAGAAAAACATCAATTTTGTTGTTCCACTTATTTATGCATTCATTGGTTCATTCTTATACGTGTCCTGACTGGGGATCAAACCCACAACCTTGGCATATTGGGACCACACTCTCACCAAATGAGCTACTCAGCCAGGGCTCAGTCTTTAATTTTATTGGCCCATTTGTTCCTTCTAGGACACGCAGGAGAAAGAAGGTATTCTCCCTGAGAGAGCTGAGGAGGCAAAGCTAAAGGCCAAATATCCAAGCCTAGGACAAAAGCCTGGAGGCTCCGACTTCCTCATGAAGAGACTCCAGAAAGGGGTATGGGACACAATCTCTTACTCTCTTACTTTGGAGCCTCCAAAGGGATGAGATCTGTAGAGGTTCTACTGAATGCTGACCTGGAAGTTAGTGGACAGCAGTACAGGGGAATTAGAAACTTGTAATGAGCAAGGCAAATTATTGTAAATCCCTGGTATGGTATCAGTTATCTTCTGATTTCCCATATAAGCTATTAAGGCTTAATAGGGGCATTTGGATATGGAGGGTTGGGGGGATGAGGGAAGGATGTTGGAGACTGGAATGCTGACTGCCCTAGGCATTAGCCTGTTTGGATGGTGGGAGTTTTAGGACTCCACTTTATAGAATTAGAACTAAATTTCGGGGGCACATCATTTCAGAAGAAAATCAAACCATCTGTCCTACAGATTTCCTCAACTTGAAATGAATAGATTCCTTCAGACCCTTGAAGTTAGCACGACCATTTACCCCTTCAATAGAGACTTATTTTTTTCTCCAGAGTGGTTCTCCTCACCAAGGGAGAGTCTACCTTCATAGCCATCTAGCTCCTGATCAGGTTTCTCAGTCCCCAGAGGTACCTAATGCTGACTGAGGGATTGTTAGTCAGTAAGCTGCCATGTATTCCCCTGTGTGGATGAAATGGAGAGTGAAACAGACCCTGTGGAAAATCCTAGTTGTTGAGTCTTAGTCACAGATGATGATGTGATGCTGATTTGCAGTTTACCTTGCTGTAAGCAAGGCAGGCTTGGGCAGGCTGTTGCAGCCACAGAACATGTGTGGGAGCAGTGGGAGTCAGGAAAAGTACATTATCATCACGAACAAACCCAGTTTCTATTCATGGTCTGAGAAAACACTTCTCAATTTTGAAGTTGTTAGCTGAAGGTTGATCTCCTGCTGATTGCTAGGCTAGCCCCAGGTTGACCTTTCTATGTATCTTATTCCTTTCTGCTTCCCCAGCACCAAGCTTGTTGGTGTCTAGTAGGTCCTCAGTAACCTTTTATGTATAAAATCAGTAATTTTGTTAATCATTCTATACTGAGGAGGCTACAACGGATGTCTCTTAATTCCAAAAATCTATACTTTAGTTGGGAGACTGCTTACATGCCTGAAAAAGTCAGAACATATTTGGGGAGGAGATGTAAGTACATGTAATTAATGCTAAACTATAATGCATGAGGTTAAATCATGGAAGACTTGAAAGATCTGAGAATGGGTGATGGTTTGTAATGCATGGGGGTCTCCTTGCTTTTGAGGATGGCCAGTGCTCCTCACTCACCTAAACCTCCCTCTTGTCCCTTAGCAAAAGTACTTTGACTCAGGAGACTACAACATGGCCAAAGCCAAGATGAAGAATAAGCAGCTGCCAAGTGCAGGACCAGACAAGAACCTGGTGACCGGTGACCACATCCCCACTCCACAGGATCTGCCACAGAGAAAGTCTTCGCTCGTCACCAGCAAGCTTGCGGGGTAACCTGGGCCCCTCTTCTACTCCCCTTCCTCACCCACTGGACTTTTATGTATCGTAGGCAGGGATGGAATGGGCACCTAGTTAGAGATCTTCTCAGCTGAGAAGGTAATGTGTGTTGAAGAGAGACTGAGTTCTTTTCTTTGGTTAAATTGAGTTTTCCTCAATGTAGCCCAATAGGGGCCCAGAAGTAGGAGACTAGGATTGAATAATACTGCAAACTCTCTTTTTCTTCTGTACAAGAAACTGGGGAGACATGATTTCCCCTTTTGGAAGAGAATGTCTCCAAATTGTTTAGGCTAAGCCTTGGGAATAATGTGGCAGGTTTAACATCCAAGGCTAACCGGACATTGTTGGGAAAGGTATATTGAATGAGATCTGTTTTCTGTGCTTGTAAGTGTTTTGTCCCTTAGGCTGCTATTGCTTCATGTTTCCATTATGGCAAGTTTAGAGACTCCTCAAAAAGAAAAACTGATTTGCTTGCCTGAAACTACAATGCCCATTTAGCCTCCCTTAGTCAGTGTCTCTTACAGTTTGCCCTGGCTCTTAAAGATTGGAGAACATTCACATAAAATGGGCACCTTCTCTCTCTCTCCCAGCATGTTGCTTTTGAAAGTATTGTGGGATAGTGGAAGGAGCACTGGTTCAGCAGTCAAAATATATGGGTTTGGGTCTAGTTTCACACAGTCTTGGCAGAAGTGATATGTAACCTTGGTCAAGTTATTAAACCTCTCAAGATCCCTTATTTCCTCATCTGTAAAATAGAGTTGAATATGGATAAGATTGATTCTGATTTTAAAACCCTATAACTGCCAGTTGAAAAACTCTGCTGTTCATTGTAAAACTAAAAGTGAGGAAGGCCCGTGGATGAGCAGCCTACACAGGGAAACCATTTGAAGTCTACATGGGGAGAAAGGAAGTAGAGATTTGGGGGGTTATGAATTCAGGCATGAGGGCCTTATAAGTCTTGTGGTCTTAGGGTCAAAGGAAAAATATATATAAGAAGCTAGCCATGGAGCTCTTGCCTCTGCCCCAGTCCACTTTTCTGGCCTACAGTTTGGGCCTTTGCTGCTAAAAGGCTGCTCCGGCAGCTGAGCTGTAGGCCTCCGGAAACATGCTCAGTCACGCACTTGTAGAGTCCCTCGTTTCTGATGTTCTGATGTAATCAGACGCCAGGTGTATTGTTAGAGAGACAGAAGAAAAGGGATGAACTGAGCTAGCCTCTGGGGCTTAGTACTGCAGCAGGGCTGGAGGAGCAGGTTTTTAGGAGATAATTCACTCTGGAGAAAGCCGGGGAACATGGTTAAGGAGAGAGAGAAGGATCACAGAAATCTGCTCAGTAACCCAGCGCCTATGTGATGAGAAGAGGCAATGCTGATTCATGAACAGGTAGAGGAAAGAGGTTGCAGGTGGCCAGCATCTTCAATCTAGTTATGACTGGCTTGGCCTGAATCTTACTGAATGCAAACTGCTGGTTATGACAGAAAGGGTCAGAGTCAGAACTAACTGTTCAAGAGAGGAAGATTCTGTAATCCTCTCTTGCCCTCTCATAAATTCTGGTAGGCCAAACATTTGACTCCAAGAGAATGACTGATGAGCTTGATGTGCATGTGTGGTGATGGGGTGTATATATATTTCTCTCCTGACCGGCCATTCACTTTTCAGGCTGTCATTCAGATTGGATAGGAAAAAGTTGGTGAGGAAGGAATGGAGAGAGCAGGATCCCTGGATTCCTTGGCTCCCAGACTCCTTGACTGTCACTTGTAATTGTATATAATTTTTGTGTTTCTTGCTCCATTTCCTCATGCTGTCTTCCTTAGTCTAAAGTCCATGTGGGAAGGGGAAAATGCCGAACATCCTTGTATAGTTTCCCCAACTGTCCCAGCCATGTTGTACATAGATATGTCATGTTATTATATATATAAATATATATATAATTTTGTACGTTTTCTTCATCTCCGATCTTCTCGAATTTTGTACTTTCTTCGTTTCTGTGTGAGCCACCTTCTCTATTGGTCAGTTTGAATCCTCAAAACTGAGGTCACAATGAGTCTGTTTTAGGAAGGAGTAGAAGAAATAGGGAAATTAGAAAACTGTTGGTCTCGCTGTCGCTTCATCTGGTTGTATTCAAGGCTAAGAAAATGAGAATCAAGCTACGTACTGTTATTCACCGCGTGTCTCCACAGCATGAAGTACATAACTCCCATGGCAAAGAAAGGTCATATTAGAATCCAAATCCCAATTGCTTTGATTAAACCTAGATTATTAAATCCACTCAAAACAACATGTGTGTTGTCTGGCCCTGGCCTCCACCCGGTTACCACCTCATCACTGTGCCCACGGTCAGTCTCCGCTGCTGTAAGTGGCTGTGGCTATGCATGTGAAACCGAGCCTTCTCCAAGCCAGGAGGCAGCTTACATCCCTGCAAGCCTCCAGTTATTTTGATCTTCTCTAATGAATTGTTCTTCTGTTTTTGCTTTTATGGGCCTCTCCAAAAAGGAAGAGAACATTTGTTTTGTGGATAAGGCTGAAATTCTCTCTCTTTCTCTCTTTTTTTTTTTTAATAATTTTCTATGGATAGGCTTTAGGCATATGCTAGGTAGACTAATGATTGCTAAGTGTAGAAGAGTCATGGGATAGAGACTGGGATGGAGCTTAGGGTTTTTTCCCTTACTACTTGACAGTGTTTTCTTTTTCTTCTTCTGTGTTCATCCACAGTGGCCAAGTTGAATGATGCTGCCCGGGGCTCCGCCAGATCCTGAGACGCTGCCCCCCTGGGTCCTGTGCTGGCTCCTGCCCCTCCCTGCTTTTGCAGCCAGGGGTCAGGAGGTGGCTCGGGCGCGGGCTGGAGAGGCAGAAGCCCCTGCCCGTCGGTGTCCCAGCGCATGGAGCCCCTTGGGCTGAGCACCAAGACCTTGAACCTTTTTTGTTTTACCTTTTTTCCACATAACTGTTGGGAGAAATCTCAGTGAAATCCTTGGGGTTGGGGTCGGGGCTGGGAGGGTTGTTTGAGAGGGTGGGTGGGAAATTTAGGGGAATATGAACTAGGGCTTGGAGCTGATAACATTCCTGACTCTCCTTCTTAACCATGTGGCTGGTGTGGGGTGGGTGTGAGGGGACAGAGATAGAGTGAACTAAAGATGTGGATTTCTAATTTAGCTCTGTAGAAAAATGCTGTGTTTGCTGGGATGTGGCTGCAGGACCAGGTGTCAGGTAAAAGAAACTGTCCATCTAAATATGACACATGCATATAGCTCCTCTGGTCCTTCAGAGCAAGCTGAGAATGCGATTAATGTTCATTGTTCATTTTAAAAAATGTCCTTGAAACAGATTTACTGTGGGGAGAAGGGCAGTGAGTATGGGGGAAAGGGGGCTGTGAGTGTGGGGAGCCCCACAGAGCCCAGGGGACTTTTTCAATATTTGAAATAAAAAAAAAAAAAAAAAAAGACCCACAAAAAAACCCAACCCAGAAATACTCTGAAGCAACTGGTGTGTTTTATTGGGGTTTGGGAAAAGGGAAGAAAAGGTTGAAGACACCATTCAGGGGAGAAGCTGGTGTGGGGCCCTAAGCTTGTAAGGAACAGCAGTCCTTAACGTAGGATGTGTCTGGGCGCTCCCCTTCATCACCCAGGGAGAGGGAGCAAGATGCTGGCGAATAGACCAGGGCTTTTCCTCACTCATGCCCATCCCTGTGTACCTGTAGCTAATGTAGTTGCATCGACCTCAGGCTTTGTTCACAAAATGGAGAGTTTGAGGATGTTTGATCTAAATGATTTATTGACACCTAAAGCTTAGTCCAGGCTAATGAAAAAAAGGAAGCGCACCCTTCCTTTCCCTTTCAGTCTTGTATTTCTTCACAAATTCTGGTTTGTGAAGGAGAAATGTGACCTCTAGTAATAAGCCAAAAGGAGCTCAAGCCCTTCTGCTTGTGGCCAGCAGGAGGCAGCGTGACTTCTTTCCTCATGGTGTCTGAACCATCTCTGCGATCCTGCCACTGAAAGAAGCTAGAAAGGACTTGTGAATGTAATATACAAAAGAAACTGTTACCAAAGGAGAAACAAACTCAAACTTGTCTTCCTGGCCCCACCACATTCACATGTGGTAAACTGAAACTACTTGCCCATCTTGCCAAGTTTGATTAGGAGAGTTTATCATGGTATTTTCCCAAATATGATTGGCTTTTCAAATAAGTACACAAATAAGTACTCAAGATAAGGTTGAGGAGACAGACATTTTAGAGAAATTTCCATCTTATTAAGAAACGTACTTATAAACTGGAGAAGAAATGTTCTGGGTATCTTAATTCAATCTTCCTAATCAGAAGCTTTCTCAATAAGCTTTCAACTACTTAGGGTTTTCCTCATTGCTCTTTTCAGATTTAACCAGGGGACTGTGATGCCTCTTAACCATTTGCCTTTCAATGTCTTGTTTCAGTGTCTTGAACAGTATGCTAGACATTGAGAGAGCCAGGTGGTAGGAAGATATATTAAGGAAAGGCATTCCCTACCTTTGTGGGGAGAATTGTGTAGCTGGAAGAAAATTTATGAAAAAGTTCATATTCTTCAAAAGGTAGAAACTCAAAGCTAGGATATATCATATACAGAGTGCGTCAAAAGTAAATTTATAGCTGTTCACATGGAAAATAATAAAAGAATAACTGATGTGCTTTGCATATTCACAACTGTAAACCTTTTTGTCCCACTCTGTATATCCCAAACCAATCCCTTGACTTCTCTTTGAGTGCCGAACCTAGTTTATGTTTGCCAGGTGCATAAAGCTGGGAAATGAGATCAGAAAGGCTAAGTGTGGGGTCATTCAGTTAGTGCAATTTCATTTTAATACAGGTAAGAAAGTTGAGGTATAGAAATAAGTTACTTATAAGGTGGCAAAGCTAGCTTACTGAAGAGTTTGAGTTAGTATCTAGGCTTCTATAAGATTTTTTCCATTATTCCTAGCTTCCCTGGTCCATAGTTTTAAGCTGTAGCCTTAGGAATCCTGGGGTGCCAAGATATGTTTGGTCTATCTCTACTTCAGTTTAAACTTGCCATTCCCTCTTTTTTGCTCTCTTACTATAGGGCTAGGCAGCCAGGGAAGACCAATTCTGCAGTGCTTCAAATAGCTATTCCTGCCGCTGTTTTAGCTAGGTGTTTTCTAAAATCTTTACTCCAAATTGTGGACTGAGGGTTCTTCCACTCCTCCAACTTGTTTGAATGATGGTTGTGCTGACAGGCCTCAGCCATCTGATGTGCAGAATGTCAGAGATGAAGTCACCATTATTGTCCAGCAGCATTTATTTTAAGCTGATGTGGCCTGGGCATAGAGAATGCAGGCAAAATTAAAATAACTCAGAGTTGCCATGGAGGAGATCTGCAGTGAGCCAGTGGCACCCGGAGAAGCAGCCCTCGTGTGTATATTGCCCTCTGCTGGGACTTGGGGGAGGTTAGCAAAGGGAAGATTTCTTTCCCCCCCACCCCCCCAGATTTTATTTATTTTTAGAGAGAGGGGAAATAAGGGAGAAAGAAAAGGGAAAGAAACATCAATGTGTAGTTGCCTTTCGCATGCCCCTTACTGGGGACCTGGCCCACAAACCAGGCATGTGCCCTGACTGGGAATCGTACCAGCAACACTGGTTTGTAGGCTGGTGCTCAATCCACTGAGCCACAGCCAGGGCAGAAGGGAAGATTTCTTCCCTTCAGAAGCTAAGACATGACAATGGCATATAAATAAAAGCAAATTAATGTAGTTCCAAGCAAAATTTCCAGAGCTAAGAGAAGGGGTCAGGAGATGGGTTGGAAGCTGAATTTTCTTAGATGTGAATGACTTACTAATAAACACAGGGTGAGGGGCGCTTTTCCTCTCAGGAGCACACCTTTCCTCTCAGGTGTGCATCTTTTCTCTCCTAAACTCTAAGGGTCCCCATGAGACTTGCAACTAAAGGAACAATGGGCAGCACAGCTTGTCTCTGGCTTACCCCCCTGAACCTTTTGCCAAGGCCCCCTTTCCTCTGACTTTTCAATAAGCCAACAGCGGCCTTGCCTTGGCTCTCTCTTGCTGCTTCTCACCTAAGCCCTTCCTTATTCCACTGTCCCCAGTTTTAATAAATGTACTCTCAAAAAAAAAAAAAAGGTGAGGCCTCCCATGCTTGGGCAGGAATATTTTAATTCACAAGTAAGTGTTGAACACTCACTCTCCAATTGGAAACGTGAGCTGTTACAGGCAGGTAAACAGTGTAAGAGATGGTGTCTGCCCTGGAGGAAATTGAAGCCTCATTGAGACAACGCTTCTTCATATAATACAAGATAGCATCAAGCAGCGGTAAAATATTTCTGAAAAGGAAAACTCCAGAGGGCTAGAATCATTAGGTGAATATTAGTGGAGAGAATGGACATTGAACTCGGCCTTGAAAGATGGGTGATATTTAAATAGTCCAGTTATCATTGAATAAGTTCCCAAAATATGCCAGGAACTGGGCTGAAATGTAAGAAGTGTGATATGTGGGTGCTTCTTTCAAGGAGATTATACTCTGGTGGGGAAATTGCACACAAATCATTGCAGTGTTAAACTTGCAGCAGTAGCGACCTAGCTACATAGAGCAAAGGGATACGTAGTTAATACTTGCTAAGTGTTTTGAGGGCTTACAAAGTGTCTAGCCCCATGCTAAGGGCTTAATTTCTCTCATTTAATCCTCTCAAAAACTGTATGACATAGGTGGTCTTAACTCTTGCTGTTATACAAATGAGAAAACTAAAACAGTAACTTGCCCAAGTCACACAGCTTCTGAGAGTGAAGATAGGATGCACTCCACTGCCTGCAAAGGCATGGGCAAGAGTGATCACAAATTGTTTTATGGATTAAGTTCTGAAGGATGAACAGGATTTCTCCAGAAAGGTAAGTGAAGAGGGGCATTTTAGTAGAGGGACCGACACTTAAAGGAGGATGAGGCAGTGTGGAATCTGCGGGGTTTCTGGAGAATGAGCATCGAGTGAGTCCTGGGAGTGGCTGGAGACCAGGCCAGGAAGGTAGACCACAGCTAGATTCAGAGGGTATGACATGGAGGCTGGCCCAGGAACCACTGAGGGGGTTACAGTTACAAAGAGGACGCCTGGCCAGATCTGTATTTTAGAGAGGGCACTGCCAACTCATGTGGAGAAGGGATAAAGGTAATGGATTTAATGATGGACTCTAATGTCAAACTGCCTGGTTTTAAGTCCTGGTTTCGATATATGTTGATAGGACAAGTTTCTTAAACTCTGCTTCAGTTTTCTTTGTAAAATAGGAATGATGTACCTACCATAAAGGATTGTGATGATTAAACAGCATAAGCATGTAAAGCCCTTATTTGAGGACTACACAGCACATAATATATGGTTCCTGCCCTGAAGGAGCTTACAGACTATAGGGGTATAAAATAAAGATGTATAGACAGACAATTAGAATACAAAGATTGGTGCTAAGATAGGGATAAGCGCACAATGCTCTGGAAGCACAGAGTAGGGGCACTCACCTAATTTAGGCAGCTGGGAGAAGGTCAGAAAAATTCTCTCACAGAAAATAGCTTCTAAACTGAAATTTGATGGAGTAGTAGGACTTAGGTAAAAATGTTAAGCTGAGAAAAGGAGTCTTCCAGGGGGAAGGAACAGTATGTAAAAGGATTCACAGGTATTACATTCGGGAAACTTAAATAATTGCAAGGGATGAGGCCAGGGATCGGTAGAGGGAAACAAGAGCCAGATCATAAAGGACCCTTTGGACTTTATCCTGGAGGCAGTAACCAAGGGAATGACAAGATCACTTGGCTTTTTAGAAAAATCTTTCTGCCCTGGCTGGTGTGGCTTGATGGACTGAGTGCTGGCCTGTGAACCACAGGGTTCCCTGTTCGATTCCCAGTCAGGGTACGTGCCTAGCTTGTAGGCCAGGTCTCCAGCAGGGGGCACACGAGAGGCAATGACATCGATGTTTTTTTCCCTCTCTCTAAAAAATAAAGTCTTTTTAAAAACTCTATGTTAAAAAAATCTTATTGCAGCGTGGGAAAAGATTGGAGGGGATAAAATTGATGTACTACAGTTGCTGTTAAAGGGATGGGAAAGTTGAGAAGAGGTATGTCTATTGTGAAGAGAAGATGAGTCCTGGCATAATAAGTTTGAAGTAACAACAAAATGCAGCATACTTACAAGTTTTTTTTATTTACTGATTTTAGAGAAACATCGATTTGTGTTCCACTTATTTATACGTTCATTGGTTGATTCTTACATGTGCCCTGACTGGAGATTGAACACACGACCTTGGCATATTGGGACAGTGCTCTAACCAACTGAGCTACCTGGCCAGGGCTCCACTTATAAATTCTAACTATGGGGCTCGTATAGTTATGATTAAGACAGTTATCTTGCTGCAATACTGTAGGTTAGTAACTACAAAAGGTAATGACAATGGGGATGAAAAAGAGTGGTCTGACTTAAAAGATACATGGAAAGTACAATAAACAGAACTTGATGTGGGATACAGGATTGATTAAAAAGTTCCCTGGTTTCTGGATAAATGATGATTCCATAATCCAGATTGAGAATACAACTGGAAGAGCAAGTTTAGCAAGGAAGATAATGAGTACAGTTTTTCAGAAGGGTTGATTCGAGGTGCCTACAGGACATCCAGGAGTAGAAGACCAGTAAGTTACTGGATTAATAAGTCCAGAACTTGGAGAAGAAGATAGTAGATTCTGACTTCAAGATGTATCAGCACAGCCATGAAAGTGAAAACATTGAGAGTAGGAAGATTGGAGAGCTGACCCTGATGAAAGCTAACAGCTGAAGGGAACAGAGACCAGGGCCCGACAAAATAGGAGAATCAGGAAGATGTGCTCCAGAGGACTGGAGGACTGTATAGAGGAGGAACGGGATAAGTCCATAGTGTAAAGTCCAATCCAAGGTTATATGAAGTAAGAAATGAGACTCTCTCACCTATATGATAAAAAGTGCCCAAAATTTTCAGGAAGGAGATGTGGCAAAATAGTAGATAACTGTCAGAATTATGATTTGGGGGAGGGTGTATTTTTTTGTACTTTTCAAGGTTTTGGCAGTGAACATGTACTTTAGAGATAATTTTACTTCCAAAAACAATAATAAAATCACTGTTTTTAAAAGTGGACTAAAGGGTGTCCATATGATTTGGCAATTAATCTTTTTGAGACAAATTTCAGTGCGTTGGTAGAGGTAAAATCTTGCTTGTACAACTGAGTGCTGTGGGAGGGTTTTGTTTCAGGATAGGAATGATCTAGGCACATTTATTGACTGAGTTAAAGGAACAAATAAAAGGTGAAGCTCAGCAGAGAATGATGATAACCAAAAAGAGTTAAAGAGAAAGGGGATAGAAACAAGAGCTCAGGTAGATGTGGTTAATTAAACAACAGTGCAACAAACATTTTTTGAGCATTTACTATGTGCCAGCAACTGTACAAGGTGAGATAATGGGGCTAATTTCATGGGAAGCCAGCTGAGACATTGATCTCAAGCAAGAGGATGTATAATTCATCCTGCTTAAAACTCAAGATAAAGCCCTGCCTGGTGAGGCTCAGTGGATTGAGTGCCAGCCTGCGAACCAAAGGGCCACCAGTTTGATTCCCAGTCAGGGCACATGCCTGGATTACAGGCCAGTTCCCCAACAGGGGGTGCGTGGGAGGCAACCACTCATTGATGTTTCCCTCCCTCCCTTCCTCTCTGTCTAAAAAACAAACAAACTCAAGGTAAAGATAGGTAAACTCAGCTATTTGTGACTAGAGGTAAGTAATTGATGAGAGTCTAACAGCTTCATTGTTCTTTGTGGAATAGGATATGAAATTGCTAGTTGAGACTTGGGGATGTGGGAATTCAGACAGGGGACTTAAGAGTGGCCACAGTGTAAAAGAGAGGATGAAGGGGAAGGAAAGGGAAGAGGGCTGAAAAGAATACTAAGTAAAAGGGTTAAGGAACAGTGTTGAGGGCCTAACGGATTGGAAACTGTCAATCTGTAATCCTTGGAATATGAGACCCATTGGAATTGTACCAATCCATATATTCCTGGATATATATATATATATAAATAACTTTTTATTCATTTATTTATTTATTGCTGGGAACATTCACCTGCCTGGGTACAGGAGCAGGAAAGATAATATCACTGTGTAATCCTGAATTATAACTTGTAGATATGAAGTGGACTGACAAGGGAGCTAAGGGATTTGAAGGTGCTGATAAAAGACAGTTCAAGGAGTCCATCTGATTCAGTCTGGTTAAGGAAGATATGTTAAACTCTGGTCAAGAGATGTTTTGAGCCCAACTGGTGTGGCTCAGTGGGTTGGGCATTGTCCCACAAATCTAGCGGGTTGCTGGTTCATACCTGGGTTGCAGGCCAGGCTCCAGGTTTGGGTGTGCGAGAGGCAACCAATTGATGTTTCTCTCCCTCTCTTCTTCCCTTCCCCTCTCTCTAAAAATAAAAATCTTTTTTTTTTTAAAAAAAAGAAGTTTTGATAAGGTCAAAAATCATATGATTATGCTGGAAGCTCAGGACATGGTAGTCAAAATGATATTAAAGATTTTAGAGTTGGACCCTTACTGGTGTGGCTCAGTGGGTTGTGTGTCACGCTGCAAACCGAAGGATTGCTGTTTCAATTCCCATTTGGGGCACATGCCTAGGTTGCAGGCCAGGTCCCCCATTGTTGTTTCTGTCCCTTTCTTTCTCCCTACCTTCACCCTCTAAATAAATAAATAAGATTTTAGAGTTTGAAGTCTTCCATGTAATGACAAAGGCATTAGGAATGGGTATTTGAAGTACAGTAAAGGTAAAGGTCATTGGAGTGTTAAGGAACTAAGGGAGTTCCCACATCCAGCTTTGAAAATAGGTGTCTCATCTATTTGTGGCTTTGTTCCTTTATCTCTTGTTAAACCTATCTGTATTTTTATATTTTATTTCATTGATTATGCTATTGGCAGTTGTCCTAATTTTTCTTCCTTTGCCCTCCTCCATCCAGCACCCCTCCCCCAACTCCCTCAGGCATATCCCTTGTTCATATCCATAGGTCATGTGTGTAAGATCTTTGGCTACTCCCTTTCCTATACTGTACTTTACATCCCCATGG